TAATTTTTTTGTTTGATCTGAATCTAGCTCATATATGTAGACTTCTTTTATAGTCTATATTTACGATAGCTAATGTGTTTTTATTTGTTTTTTTCACAGATAATGGTTCAGTTTCTGGTTATGGAAGATATGTCATGTCTTTCCTCTGCTAAATATGTATCACGGATGAGAGCAGGCATGATGACGGCTATAGGCTCCACTGCCACGTCAATTTCTTCATCTTTTGCGTAACTCAGAATACTATCCCAGACAACAATGTGTCTCTTTGAAAGTGAAATCCACATAGCCACTCAATGATTACCTTTTATGTGTAATGGGCCCTTTTATGTGTAATGAGCTGTATATATCATCTACTTCCATCCCCCACAGCTTGTTTGATCTGCAATAAGCTGGTTCCAAACCTTTTTGGTAATCCAGTGCTCCAGCTGGTAAGAGTTTACCAGAACCATCTGGATTTGCCGGAAAAGCAACGAACTCCTCGTACTTGGCAGTCAACAAAGCAAATCTTTTCGCTTCTAAACCACTCCGGATGGTTCGAGTACCGAAGCCTCAGTAGATTAATAGCAACATCCATGTGCTGCAACAGTAACACAAAAACTCAGCAAAACAGAGCAATTACCAGCTTAAAGAAGTCTACTAAAGATGTCTAATAACAAAGTCTACTAAAAAAGTCTACTAAAGAAGTCTACAGTACCGAATCTTTAAGAAATTTCTTCGGTTCTCGTAGAATCCAATACCAGTCTGCAGTGGTGTGCTTCACTATATTTAGCGGGTAATTGCTGTATACAATCACAATTCTGTACCATCACAATTCATTTATCATTAATAAGCTGATAAACAAAGTAATACAAGTAGAGATCTATTACTTACGGATCAAATGCTAGCCAATCTTCAAGTACCTTAACCTTTTGCTTATTAACGGGCTCAAAAGGATTGTATTCTTTTCATTTTGGAGTGATAACCTTTAATTTTATTTGTCCTATGAAAGGAGTAACCTGTGATGGAGCAGGCTTCTTTAGCCTTTCACTCTTTGCCCTTGCCAAATTCATGGCCGCTTTTTTTCTGTTGATTTTGTTTCGCTATTTTGGAGGAAATATAATATGCTCGTGGTTCTACTCTTCCAATAATCATAACACTTGGCTCAGCCCCATAGACACTCTCACTTTGAACTTCATCACGTTCCACACTAACAAATTTCCTCTGCATATAGGAACATATAAGTAAACAACTTAGAAAGTGAACACTATTAAAGTCAAAGTAATGAAATAACAAAAAGTTGTAAATTTCTGGATAACAAAACATAGAAACAAGGTTCAAACAACTTAAGATAATTTGTAAATTAAATAACGAGGTTCAAACAATTTAAGGTTCACACAACATGAAACAAATGATACTACTACTTCTTGACAGCTTCATTTTTCACACGAATCCTTTCGCTTGTTCTTTTGTTTGCAAGAATTGTTTTGGGTTTAGATTTTGTACTAACCCAAACACCAGAAATCCCATGGTGCATGTTAATATGATCATCATCATTCTCGCCTTTTTCCGCAGCAACAGTTGGTGGAGCAGCTTTGGATTTTA